TTATATATATACACATATATATATATATATATATTTATATATATATATATATATATATATATATATATATATATATATATATATATATATCGCCATTAATAAAATTTTAAGATTATAATTAGTATATATATATATATATATTGATTATAATTAGTATATATATATATACATTAGTATATTATAATTAGTATATATATATATATATATTAGTATATTAAGATTATAATTAGTATATATATATATATATATATATATTAGTATATATATATATAGATTATAATTAGTATATATATATATATATATATATATATATATATATATATATATATATATATATATATATATATATATATATATATATATATATATATATATATATATATATATATATATATATATATATCACAAGTTTTGTAACGTATAGTGAAGAGAGTGCTTAATACATAAAATTTTGTAATTACTAAAAGACAAAAAACATTTTAAGTAAGAATAGTAATTATATATATATATATATATATATATATATATATATATATATATATATATATATATATATATATATATATATATATATATATATATATATATATATATATATATATATATATATATATATATATATATATATATATATATATATATATATATATTGAATAGAATATAGAAGATATATTTGATATATTTTGAATAGAATTGGGCACAAAATGAAGGAAAAATGGAATTGTCCCTTGATATGATGTGTTTTTCCTTTTATCAGCCAGACTACATTATTAACTCAATACGTATAATTTTAATCGGAATGTCATTGAAGAATTTATATAATTTAGTCTAATTTATTATGTTTACTCTACTATGATTTAAGATTAAATAAATTAATACAATGCCCAGTCCAATTGTAATCTATTCCGCGTGCAGGCCCACCGAAGGAAGAATAGCGAGTTTGCAAGGAAGACCCGGTATTTTGTACTTTCCGTGTTCGCAGGTACGTCGCTATTGGGGAGGGGGGTGTACCCCCCAGTAATTCAAACGGTCAAAGTTGGTCAAAATGGAACTGTTATTTGCCCAAAGTTCGTCAAAATGAAACTGATATTTGCTTAAAATTGAAAGTAAAACTCGGAAAAGTTTGTTAAAAGTTTGGGATAAAAGACGGACGAAGTAGGTCAGAAAGGAAGGTCCAGTTATTTTATTATAGTGGTGGAAAATTTGACATGTAACGATTATTGCTACAGCAGAGAGCGAGCGAGGCAGCAAATTAAATTCATGTACCAAGCATTCTAATTTTTAGGTCAGAATTTTTTATTAAAATTGTTCTGGCCAGCTGTCTAAAGTTAGGATTAGCAGAGTTTGTTCTGATTAAATATGCATATTGTTGAAAGCACAAGTAAACTGGATATCATGCCTGGTCATGTGTACATGTATACATTGGGGGGGGGTACTATTTTTTTAGAATTCGTGTGAAGGGGGTCATTGAATTTTTTGTGATGTAGGGGGTAGGACATTTTATTTAGTTGTTAATTGAATTTTGCCAGCACACCCCCGGTCATAAATAATGAATGGTCCCTTAGTCCGGAAATATTT